ACTATAATACAAACATCCTTCTACCATTATATGCACTACAATATACCTTTCTAATTACTCTGGTGGTTTCCTGTTCCTTTATTAAGACGCTATGCTTTCAGAGACTATGTAAGCATTATTTGAATTTTTTTATAAAAAAGCTACAGGGAGTGCAGCTGCATGGTCATTGATAAATTGGTTATAAATTACTGACATATTGTCTATGAATATAATTATTATTTTATTCTTTTCTCTTTCCTTCGTGATTTTTTTTCTTAGAAAAGATCTTATGAAATTAAATAAAATTACTTTGCCAGGTTTCTTTGGTATTTCTAGGTATGTAATATAACAACAGATAATTAATATGGCAGATTCATAACAACATAGCAGGCTTAAGAGACAAAGTTAGAATAGAATAGATAATTTAGTATTGTTTCTTTTCAGTGATTTCTTGCTTATGACCTGTGAACCTTTTGAGACCCTTGGGCTTCCTGACAGTGGTCCCTGAAAGAGCTGTTTTATTATCTGGGACCATAAATACACTACAAGGGTATTCCTGTCCACTAAAAACATTTTCAGATTGTCTGCAAGCTCAGAAAGATTGAAAATCACTTCTGTACTTCAGTGCCCATATTCTATCCCTTGGAGATATAAATCCTATCAGTCAGTATGCTTTCTGTAATTTCTGGGGTAACTGTTGTGCAATCTCTGACCACTCTTTAGTTTCAACTTCCTTATGCTCTATCAGCATAGGGAGTTTACACTTGGACCCAGTCAAAGTTTGCACACATCAATAATCCCTTTGAATAATAATAATAATAATAATAATAATAATAATAATAATAATAATAATAATAAAATTATTATTAATATTTGAATAATAATAATAATGCAGAAAGAAATCTAGATAAGTGAAGAAAATAAAGCACGGGAAATATTTTTTTCTTCTTTCTTGTCTCTCAGTGTAGATGCACTCCTTTAACTCCTAACTCCTATTCATCTGCTACCTATCAGTACCACACTGTGCTAATACTGTGTCCACGGTACTTCTATGCACATGGCACAACAGTCAGAAATCAGGTACTTAAAGCCACATCTTAGGAATTTTATCAGTAAAACTGATAGAACATTGTCCAAATTACTTTTTGCTGCTGGGTGACCTGATGTTAGATTAGGCAAAAGAGAACAATATTTTTCTTTTGAAAACCAGATTTGATCCTTTCAGAATACGCCATTAATGTGATAAATATATATGACCAAACTCTTTGGTGTTTCTCAGTAATATTGTATACCTTTTGCAAAAAAACTAAGATATTACACAGCTAATTTCATATTTGACTGATCACACACTGCCAAGTTAAGAAGAAACACTGCCCATAATTTGAAATAAAATCCATTTATAAAATTCATATGTAATTAAAATAATTAATTTCCTACAGTCAACTTGGTAGCTATGTATTTTCTCTTCAGTTCAGAATTCTTGCTGGTACAGTAAGAGCTCTGTGCTAAGATTGCGTGTTAGGCAGAATTATGGGAATCTTTAAAAAACCTTTGCTGTGCTACTGTGTTGGCTAAACTGAAGATTAGTCAATGGTCTTTGGAAAGCAAGCAAAGTAGCTTCTGTTACTTCATTTGAACAATATATATTTAGCCATATATTTCTTCCTTCACATTCAGTCACAAGAAGCCCGAGTCAAAAAATCATTTCTGAGTAAAACTGCAGCTAATTTTTGAACAAGGATGAGCAAGTAGAAACTGGGAATAACTTTTCATTCTTACCTGGACTCATTCTCTTTTGAAGAGTTTCCTTTTCTCAGTACTTACCAAAATCAGGCAAGTACTTGCATTACACTTACCATGAGGTGACCAATCCTGTCTGTCCATTTTCAGGGAGAGGACATCTATAGATCTTTTGCTTTGTTCTGAAATACCAGAAGTTACCTGCCATGGAGATTAAATTAAAAAAAAAAAGATCTTCAAAATTAAAATAAAATAGTAAAAATGTATAGAATGTGGCATTTTCATCTGCGTTCTGAGGGAATAACATTGCTTGAGAAGGAATAAAAATGAGAAGCTCAGCAAAGAAGGTTACATGTAACGTCTGAGGACTTAGTGTGCTGCTGAAAGTGGTAAGTCAGTCTATCTTAAAGTCTGGGAAAAACTACTTTCTCCCAGACTAATAGCTCATATACACGAACCATAATTTACATCTGGAACACTGAGAACTTCGTTCAGTATGAAATGTCAACGACGTTTAGGCACCTAAGTGAAAATTTTCAGTCATAGAAACTTAGGTCAGAAACTGCATTTCTTTTCATTGCTCAGACTCTGCTGGGACATTGATTTTGAACAAGGACTCTAATATTCCTTCTTACCTGAAGATCTTGTACCTAGTAATGCTTCTGCCTAGGAAAAAAAATTGAATCTCCCAACTTTCTGCCATGTTGGGGAACAATCGTTGGTTTCCAGGTGCATTTCTAGTCCAGACCACTATCTGCAGGGAAATGGAGGCACATAGACATAAAATGACTTGCCTAAGACTGTAGGCAAGGTGCTGTGGAGGTAGGAAGAGGGCCAATATATGAAATCTGTATCTGAAACACAAATCCATTCTTCTCCTATTCCCTAAGAGGGAATACTATAAGAGTCTGTGACTCTGATTAGCTGCTAAGGTTTACGGCCAGAACTGAAAATGTTTTTGCAAAATTGACCCTGCAATACCCTTGGTGCTTAGGCACTGCACCACACCTATCATGGTATGTAGATCTGTTTCTCCAGACTGCATATAAGCATCCATCTGAAGACTGTTCACATGGTATCTCTTTGCTTACAAGCAAGCCAGTGGATTTTGCGTTGCTGTGCTTAGAGGCACACAGCATCAGGCTGTGTAAGCTACTCACAGGAAAGTGGTGCCAAGATGCAGTGGTGCCTCCTCCAGCAGGGCGTGAGCTTTAGAAGGTAACAGAAGTACAAAACTGGATTTGTAATGAGACATTTCACCTCTGTTTTTACTAGAGTATCAGGAAGCAGATTCTTCTGACGATGGGAAGAGTGTTGCCTGTTGCACGCAGTTGCCTGTTCCTCAGTGCTGGTCTTAAAGGTGCTGCAGAGATTTTGCATTCCACCTTGGAGTGAGCTGGACTTATGAACTGGAACTGAGATCAGAACTGGCAGCCAGGCCCATGCCAAATTGAAGTTTTATTTATTTGGTCATTTCATTGCAAGGTAGACACTGTGTCTGTGGTTTACATCTTTAAAAATCAAATAAACTATTTATATATGTTGAAGAACGGTAGGACACATAAGCCTTATTCACTAATATTTTTATGGTTTCTTTACACTTGACAAGTAAAGAATTTGTGAAAGTGTTTTTTGTACCCAAATCCCACTGATTTCTTGTTGGTTTGTGTGACGTGTGTGTGTATGTGTGTGTATGTGTGTGTATGTGTTTTCTTTTTAAAATTAAGAAAAGGTATGATCTAGATTAGGAACGTAGGCTCAGCTCTCACTTTCCCTAACATGGAGCATGGGCACTTCTGAAAGATTTTTTTATTTTTTTATTTTTTTAACTGAATACAGTTGATGAAAACTTAAGAAAATGCCATCAGCTATTACCTATTTAACACTTTCATGTTATTATATGAGGATACCTTGTATGAATTTCAGGTCAGAGTGGAAATATAAATTAGATACTGTTTTTTTTTTCCCTTCCATACCAATAATATTGTTTTGTTTACAACACCATGGAAAACCTTATGCAAATTTTCTTGCTACACCATATCCACTATACCTTAAAGAGAAAACAGGCTAATAAAAATTCTCAAAACAACTATTACTTGTAGAAAAGGAAACTGAAAGGTCTACAGTCTCTCAAAGTGTCATTGTTACTAGCTCAAGCTTCAGCTTCCTCTAGCCTAAGCTAGGGGAAGAAATCAGAAACATTCTTTCATAGTGACAAATTCCTGTGAGCTCCAAATGAAGACAGCAAAGCCACAGAAAGGCTATTGTCTGGGTTATATTTTGGTCCTGCAAATGGGGGGGCTCCTGGATGTTTTTGCTTCTCCTGCTGAAAGTTTGTCAGGTTGCTCCTTCACACACCTTCGTGGCTGCACCACCTGATGAAGGCATTGCAGATATGTGGAAGGTCATTAGTAGTTTCAGTATGCTTTACTGTCATCCTAAAGCACAATCTTGCCATGCACTTTGCACTATGAGGGCAGGAAACCAGTTTCTTTCGTAGTAATGACTTCCAGTTTACAGCCTTCATTTGTTATATTTCCTCAATAGCTGTTGTGTTGAGATTAACTGCATAAATGGTCTGCAGCTGGCTGTTATGAATTAAGGGAGTTTAATCAAAGTATTTCTAATGTACAGCATAATGATAATACATGGGGGAAGTACTATTTAAGAGATAATGATGGCTTCAGAAGATCACTGTTGTAATGTTTAGTGCATATGCCTTCAGCATTGAATTTGTTGTTGTTCTGAATATGCTTAATGGATCAGTGAAAAGCTGCCTAATGTGGGATTGTTTGATGGGGCTGACAGAGCTGGAATTAGCCCATTGCTGTTTACTGCATACAGCCATTAAGATTAATTGCTGCCAGATAATTTTGACTGTTTTTATCTTCGGGAAAAAGTGTCACTAATGGGTTTATAAATTGGTTCACTATTACTAATAGTAAGGCCAGTGTAACAGGAGAGGATGTCAGCAGCTAATTCTAAAGATAAAGGTAAAAAGTATGAAGTACTATATGACTTGCTAGTTTTAAGGGATAATGTTATCTAATAACAGACAGACTGATATATGATGCTCATTAATGCTATTTCCCGGGCTTTGGGTTGAACCTAATAGATGCTAATAAAGTCTTATTTGATGTACCATTAAAAAGCTCAATCTGTTTTCTGCATTAATGCGCAATGTTGTTTATCACATTTTCAGTGACTAAAACCCAAACCTTCAATCTGTTACATAACTAAACTGTATCAGGCTAGTTATACCTATTTTTGCCTTTGTTTAGAGACATGGAAAATCCTGTATGTACTGTATGCAGTTTGCGTCATTCAGCATCCGGTCAACAAGGACAATACTTCAGATTTTTCATAAGGTATCTTCTTTTGCATATTTCATCACTGGTAAATTCTGCAAAGCACTGCATCTAAGAAAGAAATTAATTGGTTTGTAAGTGTTAAAAAGTAGTGGTGTGATATGGGCAAAAGATAGTCCAAGGAGGACAAACCCACATCAGAGGTTAATAGTCTGGTACACCACATATACATGCATGTGTAGTGCCTCTAATTTGCTGTGTATTAAAATGAAAGTCCTTTGTGCACTGAGTCTCAAATATATCCCTTGTATCTAAGGGCATTGACAAGGGAGTGGGAAGAACATGCACTAAATAGATAGAAACACAGACAAGGAATGCTTAATGAAGAGGGAAAACCAATAACTCATGAGTAGTGAAGTTGTTCTTTTCTCAAGTAGAGATAGTGTAAATTATGAAGTTATTCCCTTCTTGAGTCAAAAGAGCATTTGTATTTTTCATTACCAATTTTTATACTGTGCTGAGAACATCTTCAATGCTTTTGAAGGGCTATGGATACTAAAACAGCCCTCATCTAAAAAAGGTGATCTCCAGCAACAGCAGGAAAAGCTTTACGCACTATTTTTCCCTTTCAGAATGCTAACACGTGAGGATATTTAAGTAGCAAAAAGGAAAAAATTCTTGGATGCTAGGATCTGTTCTGCTGGATTTGCTCTTTCCATTGTAGTATTCCAAGTGGCATTTTATTTATTTGCCATTAAGGTCAGGAAGCCTTATTCCCTTGCAGCGTTCTCACCTTTTGCTATGCTTATATCATCTGCCTACCCATTATATGTAGGGGAATGGTTGCAGTCTGAACATTGTTAGCTCTATTTACATCCGAGCATTGCACAGCGCTGCCTGGACACACCTATTAAGTCTTGGAGGTGTTTTATGTTTGGATTCTGATTTCCTTCTCTCAGATATGCCCCACCACTGGCTACATTATCCATATCCAATCAATCATTTTCCAATTAAGCCTTTGTCTGAACACAGATCTAGCACTGTTTTGACTTAAATCGATTTAGAATCAGTTTCATTAATTCAGTACAAACTCTACGTAGATACATTAATGTTGGCTTACAAGCAGCTTATTTTGGTTAACTTTTAACTCGATATAAGTTAAACCATGCTCTGTCAGGCTTATATTGATTTAAAAGAGCTGACACAACCAATATCACTGTTTTAGCTACATTGATTTTAAATCCTGTTCTTAGTTAAAGAAATGCAATTTGCACATAGTCCCAAATTTTGCTCCCCAAAAGTGTTGCCAGTGTTTCCAAGCACAGCCCTTTATAGATGCCCATTAGCCTCTCCTTTCTATTGTTCATGATTCTAAATAATGTCTTGAGGCAAGTCTTGATTAGGTTGTTAACCAAGCACTCTGTGGCAGGCAATTTGGGATGATAGTTAACGCAAAAATTATTCCAGAATAAGGTATGGTGTTGTTTAAATGCAGAGTGGCTGTACTGGAGCACTTCAGACTGGAGACATTTGTACAGAACAGGATATCCCTCCCCTGCTCAGAAGGGAATGGATCCCCTTTTAGATCTGCCAGCCCAGATGCCTTGATCACCTTACAGTATCTCAAAGGATGAAAGACAGGTTAGTTTACTTATTTCAATGATACCTTCTTCTCATTCTGAATTAAGAATGCTGGGTGTTGGGTTTTTTTTGAGTTTTAAGTAATCTGCATAAAAAGTAAATGGTCAGACAGAGAGAGAAGGCAAGAAGGAAAAGAGGGAGAGAGGAGATCTAAGGATGCTTTAGGCAGAATTGAAAAGCAAGCAAGTTAGGCAGAGTCCTCTCACAGTGTTATCTTATTTCGCTGAAGTCCTCTACCTTGCAGATGCACCTGTTTTGGGTCATGCCACACATGCAATGGCATGCTTCCTAATCTGCTATTTGATACAAAGCTGTTCTGATTATGGATTTGCAGAAACAGCATGTTCGTCCTGAACACTCTTTTCCAAGCCAAGCACAGATTTTAGACTGCTAAATCTAAAAGCAGCAGTCACTAAACTTACCGGACTGATTGTTTCTAACACAATATCTGCAAAACTATATCTTGCAGAACACAGGGCCTGATCTTCCATACAGTAAAGCCAATCTAATACAGACGGGCCTTTACTAAGTTTACATAGTAGCACCAGTGCCAAGGAATACAAGGAATACAAGGAATCTGTATTCTGCAGTACAGTGTAAATGCAACTTGCTCATTTTTTCCTGAAAAACTTAATATTATTTCTTTTTTTCTGTAAGGGAGGACTATCAAAATTTATATTCATTCTCAAAATGAGCACCTGAACTTTGTAAACTTCTGAGCTCACAGCTGCTTGTGGCAGTATGTGAATGGAGCTGTCTCAAGAGGAGAGTTTCCACCTTGCAGTCCTGGAGGAAAGCTCAGACTCAGCACAGTCCTAACCAGCCTTCCAAAGATCCTAGAGGAATGTATCAGCCTTATATATATAAAGTTACTCTAAACACTATTTTTTTCCTAACGTATATGTTCTAAAATGTATGAACTGTGGACAATGGGGTCTTTCCAAACTTTCACTTTCTCTTCACTTTCAGAATTCCACATAGTTGCCTGGGACAAAACCATCCCCAGTAATTTCTTGAGCAAGAAGCAGTATTATTGACAGGGCACAGCCATATCCACACAGATTTTGGGACACTTTTCCCTGGTCCTTTGCACAGTCCCATGTCAGTGACTCTTGCATAATTAAAATTATTAAGAACTGGACTGAACATCAGATCTGCATTGTGGTACCTATCAGGACCTGATGTACCTATGAGATGCCTTACTCAGGGGGATAGACTTTATCTGTAGCCAGTTTAAAGCAGAAACTTCACTAAGGTGCTTTTCAATTTCCATTGACTGGATATTAAGCCCTATGAGACTAAGTTCCTACCTTAGACACTTCATTTAAGTATCTAAATTTAGACACTGAAAAGAACCTTATAATTTTACTTCTTTCAGAAAGATTTTCGGTTTGATTGTTTTGTTTCAGGATGAAATTCATCCCTCTGTAACAGCCATGTTCAGGACAGAGAACTCTTCTATTTCTTTTTAAACTTTCATTCAGAGACCCCATTTCAAAGGAAAGCAAACCCCATATTAAGCCTCATGAAGTCCTGTTCAGGTTTAGCCATCTAGCAGGATCTGTGTCTTGGGAAGGGACTGTGCCTAGAGGGATGCATAGAATTTAGTCTGACCCATTAAGCAGGTACAAATTTGACCACACAGTCCTGTGTCTCACTTCAGCCTAGAAGGTTAGGGAATTTGTCAGCCCCCTGAAAGTTATTAAGTGTTACATTAATTGCATCTTTTCACTTGCCACCTTCTTGAGCTTTTACAGTTCATATTTTTGAACTTTTCTCAGCAGACCAGACCATTAGGAATGTCTTTTTATTTTTTTCACCCTTAGTAAAAGCAGCGGTTATCAGGTAATAACAGGATTTTTGAAGCTGAGGCATTAAAAATACTGAGAGTGGCAAAATGATTAAATCACAAGTCTTGCCAACATCGTAAGATGTCTTTCTGTCCTTTCAAGACTGGTCTACCTATATCTGTTTGAACCAATTTCTCAAATGAAATTGCATTTTTTTACGTATACACAGACTTACATGGATGAACCCAGGCCATGGATAAATGTTGTGAAAGCGTGGTCTGATAGATCCTGCAGCCATTCTATCTGTCAATGTCAAAAATCCTTTGTCTGATTCATAAAATGTTATTTTATCACCATACAAAGATATGTGGGGTGCTTTCCAAAACTGAAGTATGACTGTAGAAATGGCAAAACTTTCTCTCCCTAAATTCACACTTGAAAATGATGTGCTGAAATTTTCAAATTGACCTAATTAAGAATGCTGTGAACAAATGGAGAGATTTAACACAACAAATGAAATAAGTTGGATTTTAAAAAAATAAATTCAAGGAATGGCAATATTATCCTGAAATTAAACTCTTTAATATGGAAGATTGTCTCAGCTTCAGACAGTTTCAGGCCAATTCTTCCCAGACTGCAGCTATTACCTCAAAAAATTACATAACTTGCCTTTTTTTCTGAAAATCGCTGGAGCCCGGCTGGGGCTCCATTATTAACATCAGAGCTGTCAGCATCTCAGAGAGGCAAGAGAAGAAAGCAAAGCATTCCTACCAGCAGCAACAAAACCATACTTGCACTTAGAGAAATCTTCCTTCAATCCTCTTTACTCCAAGCAGAGAACTACTTAAATTACAGTATGCTGAAGGTGGGATTCATTTCACTTTTGCTATCTATGAGTTAGAAACCTCTGTTAGATGTCTATAAGTAAAAGTCAGCTTGACTCCTCTCTAGACAATGAGGAGAGAGAGGCAGCTCCAGAGGGTGATTCATCCCATCTGAAGACAGGCATCGAAGAGAGATAGAAGGAATCACCCTTTGGAGATGCCTATCTCTTTCCAGTGACTACAAAGGGAGTCTGTGGTGTGCGGCTTAAACTTGACAGCTGAAGTTATGTGAGATGAAATCTAATCCTAAGCATAAATAACACAGGTGGAGCTTTACTTGCCTGTACTGAACAGAAAGTTATTAGTGATGTTATTGAAAGTGTTCTGCATTAAAAACCCACATAGTGTTTGCTGCTTATTAGCGAGCATGGATTAATGTAATACAGTGTGTATAACCACACTGCTGTGTCATCAGTATCTGAGACTCAGTAAAAGCTAGGAATGGCAAACTTACGAAGAGATCATGATTCCTAGGGGAACTTGGGTGCTGACCAGCTCTGAGTGTTCTTGTTTCTCAGTGCTACTTGTTTAAGAACTGTCCCACAGGAATGACAACCCTGGATATCTTTTACCATCTAAGGACCTTTTAAGCTGTTCTAGATGATATCCCAACAGCATGCAATGTTCATTGACTTTTCATATGTACAGTACTATACTAATAGCATACTACTATGCAATACTTGTGATATTTACAGGATTTGGAACTACATTAAAAAAAAAAAAACTTCTTAAAAACTTAGAACATACTCTTTCACATGTTGTGTACTAAGTCTTCAGGCCATCAAAATATTATTCATTTTAGTTGTGAATCTGAAGGCAGGCAAAAAAATGTATTCCCCTTGAAAGTATAGGCAGTAATCTATGTTGCACCAACAGCTTTGGCTATATTAATGGAGGAAGCCAAAGTTCAGCTTTTGCTTTTCCAGCCCCTACTAGACAGGACATCAAAAGTAAAGGCATTCAAAATACCTCTGCAGCCTTATTATTTATCTTTATTAATATCTTCTTGAAGATAAAATTAGATAGACATAATTTTATGATTGGGCTCAAAATTTTAAAGGCTCTTTCAAATCAACCTTGTCACCACCCAGCCTCTGCTGAACTTTGCCATGGGCGTCCATATAGCTAAGGTTTCATATCAAGAATTTTCCTCTGATTTAAATCAAATCGAGTAGAGAACAGAGACCTTTTTATTTAGTTTCAAGAGACTTCTTTGGAAGATCTAAATTCAAGTGTATCTGAGTATTTCATCACTACTTAGATGTTCTGTCAGCTCTGTCTTTTAAATCTATGTATTTTTAGTATTCTTAGTGTAACACATGCATGAGAAAATACTGCAGCTGTGAAAGTCCAGATTGTGCAATCTACTAACCTAGAAGGTACTGTCACTTTTATGTGCCCTATATTTTATTCATCCATAAGTCAAACAAATGCAGATTTTTTTTAGAAATTTATCTTTAGCCCTTGCCTTGCTTTCCACTTCTCAATGTTTGGAATTCAAGAATCAGGTCATCTGGATAAAAGCTACAGTATTTTCTTGTATGCTCTGCACCCTCAGTAAGCAGCACTACACAAATAAACTGCATTTTACACCTTCCTAGAGGAAAATTTTCAAAATATTTCAACTGGATGGATTTCATTTCATTGTTCATAAAGATATTAATTTTTCATGGTATTCTCCACTCTTAGGCAAATAAAACTAAAATCAGAAATTTATATTTAAATCAGCCATCTAGAGAGAATGATTTATAAAGTGCCACTTATTCGGAGAATATTTCAGTCTAAGTTATCTAATGGTTTTCTAAAATTAGATGCTACTTTCAAAAATCAAAACTGTTGGAGTTATTAACACAGCACCTTTTTAGAGGGATTGTAACATACACAAACATCTGGGAAAAAATCTGGAAGAACGAGTTATGTCAGATTTGAATGTGTTTAAAGCAACACATTAAAAGTACTGGCAAGGTTACATTTGTAGGAAGAAGCAAATTGGTTGAAACCCTGACCCCACTGAAATTAATGAGATTTCACCCTTTGTCTTTACTATTCAGATATGTCCCCAGTGACCATGACCATGAGAAAGATTCTTGCACAAGGACATTTGAAATGGTAGGCTCTGTCTCTTGAAACAGTAGGTACATTTGGCATGTCTGTGCTTCAGCATTTCTTGCAGTCAGTGCACAATATGTGTCTCAGCTTGAAGGCTTCTAATAGTTGATAGAAGATAAAAATAAATGTTGCTATTTACAGATCCAGAAATTCTTCAGAGCAGGAGTGAAAATGTTTTGACTATTTCATAAAACAAGTGTGAAAAATGGGCAGTGAATAATTTTGAAAGGGTCAGTATTAAAATTGTATTACCGCAGATAAATCCCAGCTAGCAATTAGAGCAAAATTGAGTAAAAAAATAAATAAAAGGATCAGATCTTCATTCTGCAGACTCAGTCTCTAGTTTCCTGTATTGGAGTGCTGTGTCTTCAATGCTCCTGTCTTTTATAGAAGCATATTCTAGTATCTCCTAAGATTTAGTGATTTTTATGGGGCCACCACTTTCTTTCAATCACTTGATTTTATGGGGTCAAAAGTCCACAATACATTACAAGATGCCTCTGACCCTTGAAAGCATACTGCATGAGATCTGAAGGCAGCAACCAGCTTTTGCCCAAAAGTAAGAGCCATGTTGCCAGAGTACTTAAAAGTATACCACAAAAAAAAAATATATATATAGAGAGAGAGAGAGAGAGAGAAAGAGAGAGAGAGAGAGAGATGGGCAAGATCTGGGGAGATCTGTAAAAAAAGAGGAGAAAGCTAAAAAAGGAAGAATTGATGGAGATGTTTGGAAGGACACTATGAGGAGTGCTCAGGTCTCACTCTATGAGGCAATGCAGCACTAACTACACTGAGAAAAACCAATTAGGCCATAAAATTTGAAGCTAGTAAAATAAAAACACTGAAAGAAAAGAAACAGGTTTGGATCCAGGAAGACAGAAATGGACACGGTATTAAAAAGGATTTAGCAAACTGTTGGTTCAAGGACTGGCCTGTCTTTCCCAAAAGCAGCAGCAGCTGCAAGACCAGCTCTGGAGGCCCCACGGCCCCCATCAGTGTGTCTTCCTTCCCCTGCCTGTCTGGTGGTATAGCAGTTTTCAGCTGCTGTGGCAGAAGCAAAACTCAGTTTTGGTTCCAGTCCTGCAGTGTCTTGACATTGCTGGCTGTTAGAAATACCTGTTATTACTGAATCTCAAACAGATTCAAGAATGATCTGGGGCAGCTGCCAGCAAAAAGACTCAATTCTTCACATTAAATAAAAAAAGTCAATTTTTCTACTGATTAGGAAATGCTCACTACCTATGGCCTGCAGCTTGGTGGTCCTGGCTTTACCTCATGCCCAATTTAAGTCATGCAAATAGGATATTGTCTTCAAGGACACAACTTCTGTCTATAAAGTTAGTCATATTATGAAGTAATCTGCCAAGGACCTTCACTGATTGAAATGCTAATGTGCAAAACCCTTTGCTAGAGACAGTACAACTGGGACAAAGCAGTGTGATTTGTTAACAGACAGCCTATCACTCTTTTCTTCAAGGATTACTTAAGTGCCTCAGTAAAATCTGAGACAAAAAAGAAAATGGATTGATCAAATGCATTTGGATTTTCTGAAAGTTTTTGGGGGAATACGCCAAAGTTGCATACCTCTAATATTGCTTTGTATGTTAATGTTATGAAAAAGCTGTGTGAACACTGAGCTGACCATGGTTAGGGATGGCACAAAGATAGCACAGTGTTAAAGAGGTTTATGAATATCTCCAAAAGAGAAGAAAGTGAGGTGAAAGGACAGTAGGTAGCAGGTGAAATTCAATGAATGCAGGCTAAAGTATGTGGAAAGAGGAATAATTTGAACTACAGAGAGCTCTGAGTTTAAACAGCGATGAATTTAAAGAGTATAAGTTAATGAAAGTACCTTCTGAAAATGAAAAGCAGTGTTTGCTGCTGTGTTGTTTGCTGAAAGAAGTTTGGCATCCTAGAAGGCATCAAAGAAGAAAAGAAAGCAATGATACGGAAATTTCTATAATGTTGGTATATGACAGTGGCATAGAATTAGTGGGCAAACCATCTTTTCAAGAGACATTCTCTCAAAAAGAAGGAAAAATGTGTAGCAGAAAAATGTAGAGATTCAAAAATGTTTGTGAAAATCAAACGTTAAAAGACGCAAGACAAGATGAAAAATGACTTTTTCAAGAAAAGGTTGTATAGCTAGTGCTTTTGCACATTAACCTCCTCTGATGACAGAACATCACTTTCTGACCAAGTAATTACCAGTGTACCAGTAAAAGATCCTGGAAAGTAGAGGTAAGATATAAATGTAGACTCAATCCTGGACAAGCCCAGCACAGCAATTCTTATGTCAAAACTACTTGCCATCACCAATACGTTCATGTTTTGGCTGCATGACAATTCCCGTCCCTGCTTGGATCCCCTGCCTAAACTCTGACCTTACTGGCTATAAGAAACTTGACAGAGGGGTGAGATCTAAGAGGTGCTCCAGCTCTTTATAGGGTTTATAGGGGTCAGAGTAGAGGAGAGGATACCCCTAAATGTGGATGCAAAGTTGGAGAACATGCAATGGAGTGTGACTTCATAATTGACAAGATGTGTTGAAAGCTTCTGTCAGCTCTGGCACCTTCCTAGAAACCAAAATCCATCAGACAGGACACAGATTCATAGAAAATCAGATTTCATTAGTGCCAGGGCTCAAAGCACTTGTTTCAAAATTCGCCTCACCATTTTTACAGAAAAATCAGGCACTAGGATATCTATTCACCAACAGGTAAAATTGCATCTGGTCTGCTCTTGCAGGGAGCTCTTCAGGTGTTTTATAGTAAGGGAGATGATGTTTAGGGTCAGAATTTTCTCTGTACTTCAGAACTGGCATTGGACAGGTCTAGAGTTTGAATCCTGCAGAATGCTTTTACTCAGGCCTGTCCTGACTGCTAGGCTTACTGAGGTAATGGGCAAATTTGCTACGAAACAAGAAACAATTTAAATGGTGTAGACTTTCTAAACCCTAATACAGCCATTGTATTGCACATGTGACAAATACAGACAATGCCACATGGAAAACCATGGAAAGATGCTAACAGCCCATTTCCTGAGCAGCGTAAAACAGTTGCTGCACTATTTCTGTTCCCACCATCTCCACAATTTCACCATGAAAAAAGATTTACCATCCGTTACATTTATAAAGATCTTAATAGATCTGAGCCCAAAAATCATGAGCTTTATGTATTTAAGTTTTAAGCATTGTTGCGCATACATATCCACATAGAAATATGAATCTAAATATCAGTCCAAAAACCATGGAGTACATTGGCCCATTCAATGCAATTAAATAAATCCTGGACAAGAATGTATCTTTTCATTTTTATTTTACTTTTCTTTTGTCAGTAACAACTAGTAACTTATTTTGTAGTTTAGACTATTAATGTCTTCCCTTAAATACTCATCTGCAGTAATGTTTTTCTTAATTCTGCTCCAAACTCTTTCTTCTTTTAAAGCCTAATTATATCCTTATTATCTGTCCATGCCACCTCCCTTCTCCCCATTCACTGTGCTCAGTTTCTCACCCTATCATACCTTACTGGCAAATTCTTATCTTCACCAGTCATTGAAATCACTTACTCCTCACCAACTACTTATCACTTTACCACTTCTTTGACTGCTTTTTGTAAGTCAGGCTGCATCAATATTGATAAAATAAATGATCTTGAGGCCATTCTTTGCACAGAGAAAATCTAGCACAGACTGATACTCATTCGCACTCCCTTATCTTCTGAGACAGGCTGGCCAGAGCCAAACCCCCAAAAGTGGCCTCTGTTAATTCCTGAATTCTCCCAAGGAACTGTTTGAAAACCACTAAGTGACTCAGGGCAAAACAAAACATATCAGAACCATTCAGACTTTCTGAAATGGACAGCCTGGTTCTAGTACCATCTTTAACACCGTTAAATTTACTACTGCAGCCATATTCACCCGCAGCAGAAACAATATCTCAGGCGGTAATGTACATAACAGCTGATTCCTGTGGTTTGCAAGAACTATAATTCTGAACCAGAATCAAGTCTTCTTCCCCCTATTTAGACTGATTTCTATTTGCAAAGTTTAGTCGTTGGCTTCTCAGATGCTGATAGCTCTAAAGCTGCCTGAAGCCGATCCAGCTTCTCTGCTGAGCAAGCAGTGTTATTTTTTGAAATGAAGGAAACAACTTTGAAAGGTAGCTTGTTGACTGTGTAAAGGATGGATGTGGAAGACTTGCATTCAGAGCCAATGTTTTTCCTGCCATCTTCCCCAAAGAGACGTTAAACCTGGAAACCAGTAGTTTCATGGGCAAATTCTAGGCTTAGGCATAATCAAATAGTCTCAGCACAGTAAAATTACTGCACATCAGCCAGGCTGTGGCAACTGTCCACCACAAACATGAGATAACGGGACATACATTAGTCCACAGTGAAAAGGGGCTAACCTATGCCAAATTACTCTGAATATGCCACGGGCTAAGAGCATTTGCACAGGCTGTTATTGAGACTGAGCTGATGCATGGCAACAGTTAACCAGAGTAATTTGATCATGCGTCTGGTCTCAAAGACGAAATAGACTCTAAATTGCTAGTATAGCATATAGGAGACATAGCAAAGACATTCTGTTGCATTACCATCTGACCTAACAAGAGAATAAAAGATACACTCCCTTCCACCACTATTTTAACACAACATTTTTACCAGTCTGAATTATGAAAACAAAACACACACACAAAAAAGCTATATTTAAACCTATAAAATGCAGTTTATTCCACTTTGATAAGGCATAACTTTTTTTAGCAATTGTAATCTGTAACATTACAGCCTTAGGAGGTAATTTACTAAATAGGACAAAATTAGCTGATTTTTGGACCATTTAAAGGAACGTTTCCATTGAAAGCATATAAAATGTATTAAAGTAATCTCTAAAGTCTTTACCCCTGCTTGAGATTTTAATTTACTCAGAGCTAATAAATTATCCCTTCAGAAGCTATTGAAAATTTTCACTTACATCCTTTTTTAAACTTAATGCGT